TTACAGCGGGGGGTTCATCCCCTGGCAGGGTCTACCAAGCTGAGAAGGAGTCTGGTGTTTCCGTCAGGAAGCCTAGCTAAGAGTAAACCAATACTAGGATCTACCACTGTCCTGGTATCAAAGTCGCATGGTGATAAATCTCCCTCTGATCCACATGGGCTGCAAGTGCCTGTGGTGGTGAAAATCTGGGGCAAAGCTTAGCCAGACTGACCTCGGGATTCTAGGGAACCATAGTGGCTTAACCAGCAAATCTCCGAAAAATGGAGATTATGCTGAGGCCCGCACAACCAGTGAGGACAGGCCATTCAATTATCAAGTATCAAGTAAGTATTGCTACTATTGCTATAAGCGGTTATAATCTAAGCTTGCGATTATTGTGATTGACTGGGAACGCTCTAGTTCGGACACCCAGGGAGAACGGACTCGACCAACATTCAGCGACATTCACAAAGAAGACGATAATCCACAAGCAGATCCGCGGAAAACTCGGAAACCTCGCTGGATGATGGATGCGAGGGAACGAATCGAATGCACCAAGTGCTAGTAACCCGCACAGTAGATGTGATGACGGGTCGTGTAAAAATATTGTCGCTAGCATCTTATCTTGTTCTAAATAAACCTTGCAGAGAACAAGTCAGATCTACCGTAATTTGGTCAACTCGTAACGAACTCTTGCAAAATGCCTTACTAGAAGCGAAGAATTGGACGGCTGAATTACTCATTCAGGATGGAAAAGTTACAGATTTAATGAATGACAGCTAGATTATTGTAACCTGTACAGATCACAATATATTCACAATACCAGAGCTTCGTTCTAGTTCTTCTGCTGACTAGTAAGCACTGTGGGAGGAATGAATTAAAAGCGAAAGTATTGAAACTTTCAGCCGGAATAGCTTGTGTAATAGTTCAATGCAGCCAGCTGGTATTGGAATGTGAACCACGAACGATACAAAAGTAGAAGAAAAAGGAGAAATAAGCATATGAATATCAAAGAATCTACCAGTATCGTCTAAAGACTACTTGGGTACATTTTTCTTCACATCAAGTGAGTGCTGTAACTGTTCTTTTGTTTTCTCCCTCTCCTGCAATTGATACGATACACAAAGAGGTGGTCAGGTTCTACAACATTACGACCCCTTGAGTTCCCTCCTCACTGATATGTTGAGTCCTCGGGTGTACTACTTCGCAGGACGGTAGACGGTCTGTTAAGACACTCCTTGTTCTTCAGCACAGAAGCCTTCCCTTGTTGACCATGAAAAATTCTATGACCTGATATTAGTATTGTAGGGAATTTTACACTGCACACTGTAGTCACATACTATGATATGAAACATCATGATATTACCCGTGGATAAGAGAACAAGGACCCAATAAGGTTTCATTTCGATCAAATGCAATTGCGAGAGCTGACGCAGAAACACGTCGATGAGCACGTAGACAAGCTCAAGGTAGCATTACAAAATCTAGCGAAGACTCAGGTAGGATATTCTCTCTAATGTAGTAGTACTATTCAAACTTTAGAAAGGAAAAATCGGTGGTTCTGAAAAGAGCTAGTGCTTCAAGCTTCATCTCATTTTCCAGAAGTCACTAATATGAACTATGTAGCATAGATTTACTGTTATAAAAAGAATATTGAATCAATATAACAATTATACACCATGTGTAAACAGCAAAGGATCGCATAGAAGATTCCCAACTAAATTTCTACGAACTGCTCTGGTAAAAACAAAATAAATAAAGGGAAAAAAACAGCGATCTTGCTTCATATTACGGTAATGGACCTCCAGATGTCATCCAACAAAACGTGAAGAACTATTCGCAACTCTCTTCGTTTTCAGGTAGGAAACGTAGAAGAAAAGAAAAAGAGAGCAGAACTTTCGCTCTGCATAATTGAACTACAACCTAAACTGTACTCTTCGCAAATTCTACGAATTAGAAATTTAAATGCCAAAACAGCGTACACGTGATCCTTATGAATTCAAACTCGATCGCAAACGAGATGGAAACATTTAAGAGGTACGGAGCCAACGTAGTGTTAACGAGCGCACACTGTAACGTCCATTTAGAAGCTTTCCTTTCGTTGTGGCGAGTCCGATCTTGACGATTAGAAGATCGGAGGCGTCCATGTGCTATTGATGACGATGAGTTCATGGGTATAGTGGAAGGAAATATATGCACAGATATGCAAGACCTTGCAGAATTACTCCGCTAACAATAACGCGACGACGCCTAATCTCGAGTTTTCTGCGGGCTGAACGACGCCTAATTTTTATCCTTTATGGGCTTGATAGTTTTTGAAAATAAACAATAGCTTTTCAATAACTAGAAGACTTTGTTGTGGGTTGTGAACATGAATAGACTATGAAGAAGACTTTGTCGTTCCATAGGTATGAATAATATTTATGATGCTATTTACTACATGCCACTATGGTTCATCACACAAACGCACTACTGTTAGTATTTGCAAGTGTTTTACAATTTATGGGTCCCTCTTACAGCAACTAGCACCCTAATTTTTGGTTAGTGAAGTCGTTCAGAAAACGGTCTCTTGTACATTTGCAGGTTCAAAATAGAGGTTTTCCCTAACAACGTTCAACAGAACATCCGTGTTCTACAAGCTATCATTTGACGACAACATAGTTCTACGTGTTAAAACAAACCACCAGAAAGAAATCAGACCTATAGATGTTTTGACGGTCACTCGCACAAAGTCATTCCGTCCATAGGTGTCACTTGTCGCGAGAATGTTACGTGTCATAGCTGTTTCGGAGCATCTAAAGGCTTCAAAGTGGAGAAAGCTCGACACATCGCATTATCGATACTGTAGAGGTTGAACAGTACTACACGAGACTCCGTCTCATCTGTCATACCCCATTGACCTTTTTCCTACTAAATACCATTTCCTAAAGTATCGCGACAACTTCCTATATCAAAAATGCTTCCTATAGCAACCCGAGTCTGTGATTCAGTTCAATGACTACATCACCTTCGGAACTACTGTATTTTATGCGATGTAAACAAGGAAATTTGTTCATTTTAGATAAAAATCTGCACATCCTGATGACTTTTATTCCTATTAACAAAATTTATTCCGAACTAAGGCAATCCACCTTAAAGAAGAGTTGTGCAATCGTACATTAGTTTTCGAAAAACCTAGTAAGATCTTAAAGTGCTGTCCGCTCCCAATGTTGTGACAGTCCGGAAGAAATGCGAATGCGGATAACCTGCCATTAAGAAGAAAAAGGCAGTAAATAAAAGAGTTAAGATTGTGATTATAACTAAGCCTCAGCTTAACTGGGTTCAATGCCGATATTGGCTCCCCAGATCAATCCCGTTGACATATAATATAACTACTATAATATAACTACTATAATGCTGAGATATTTGCAAAACTCCGGACCGTAGGTGTCTGCGGTGGGGAACGAACACGCGCTGTTGTCCTTACCGAGGAGCAGCGCACTTCACCACCACACCATACGGGTGATTGCTGATGGCAAAAAGATCGATAGAACTAGCTGAAAGACATGCAAAGCGAAGGACCCGGATGGTGTAGTGGTGAAGTGTGCTGCTCCCCGGTAAGGACAACAGCGCGTGTTCGTTCTCCACTGCATACACCTGTGGTCCGGAGTTTTGCAAATGTCTCAGCATTTCATACGAGTTATAATTCGAAACATAACCTGCCATTAAGAAGAAAAAGGCAGTAAATAAAAGAGTTAAGAATGCGAATTCCTTTGAGTACCACATGAATGAATGTTACGACAGTCATGTAACCGCCAAAGATAAATGAAACCCATGTTTAAAACGCAGCAAAGGATAGAAATCATAAAGTTGAAACAATGATTTGCAATGAATCTGGGAAGAGATGAACAATACTCTCTGAACAGATACTCTGTTTCTACGGACTGCCCTGAATGTACTAATATGTGGTCACTTCTGATGGCCAGCGTTTCAAGAACTTGGTCTTTTTCAGATGGGTCCTGGTTTTCTGAACTGTGAGATCATTCATGCGTTGTTCACATATGATAAAAGATCGATAGCTATGAAATATTTATTAACCTCTTGTCAGCTCATTCAGAACAATTCATGAGAATATTATGAAATCTTCAAGATTTCAGTTTGATTTGCTGAAGGACACCGAATTTCAAGAATGGAAAACACAAACTACAAGCAGTAACTCAGTTGATACCAAAGTACGATGATTTAGCTTCATCACAAGTGCGATTAGTTAATGCTCTTCTCGTTTCTTTGAACCAGGACTTATTGGACTTTACGACTTGACTCCCTTCTTATACTTCTATAGAATTCAATGTGGTCCACTATCTAGTTTCCAATTGGCATACATAAATCGTAAGTGAAACGATATTTCAACTAGGAACGATATTTCGAAACTGCAAAAGAGTTCGGGATGACATCCAAATAAAAACAAAATACGCATGTTAACAGACGATGTGAAAGCATAGTGGTCACCACACCATACCCGAAAAAAATGCACTACTAAAGCCAAACATATCTGAAAAACATTTATATCGAAAGAGAGGAAAGAGTAGTATAGTCCTTAACGAATTCTCAATTTCAGCTCAAAACCATCAAACTGCCACTCTCGATTTGTGTTCTTCTTCCCGTCAAGAAATAAACGTCGAAAATATCACAACTACGAGCTAGAAATCAGATTTATGGAATAAAACCATGTGAGCCGAACTGATATCCCCGACAATACTAAAATAACCAAATACACTGTACAAAGCAAACTAGATGGTGAGAAATCGATGTGGACATTAGAAGACGATACACGAATCTTTCAAAGTCGTGCGTGATAATTAAGCTTAGTAATGTTCCATTAGTGACAACGAGGTATGGGTATGTACAACTGCGTAGTCAGAGTAATTATCATGTAGCACTGTGAGTTCACGAGGATAAAAAATATCGAAACTAATCTGCCTCCAACCCAGCCATTTTCAGAATCTGCTCGCAAACTTTTTTGTAAAGAAAGGCGTCACCGTTTAGACGCCTTCTTCGGATACCAATCTAAATTCCGTACCAAAGAAGCTGTTAACTAAACCAAAACGATAAACCATTATAAAGTGCAAGCTTACCTTTCCAATATTTTCCACCACAACCACTTCCAGTTCGACAGTAAGGGCGTGGCCAGCCTTGTCTTTCTGTTTTCCAGAAATTTTCCACCTAATCGTATGCATTGAACAATCATCCGAGGCTCCAGTGGAGTACAATAACGTAAAAAATCAAAAATAACTTACCCGTTAAGCTCGTATTTGATGTTCTGTTGTTCAAACACTTTTATAAGCTCATATTTTATTCGTTCTGGATCCGTAGAATTAGTTACTGAGACGTTAATCCTTCCCTAAAATATAAAAACAAGCTGTCACTGGAACACACAGGTTCCAGTAAGGGAAATAACTAAGAAAACATATGAGTAGGAATAAAATCACCGTACATCCACAGTTTTCAAGACCTGGGGTGAGTCATTTTTTAATTTCCTAGGCGTTAACAGGTTAATCATCCGATCTGCTTTACGTTCGAGAGATGCGAACACCTAAAAAGGAAACTGGATACAATGCTGTGTCGCACAGACAAGGGCGCGTGTAGCGACGTAGTTAGAGGTGGCTCCCAATACAAACGCAGTCGTTAGTTCAATTCCATGTTTAGACTCCCCAAGTTTTCAATCACTCTGTGGTCTGCAAATTAGTACAATGTCTACCTGGGAGGATAGCAGCAGGCAGCACTGACTCGAAACATCGATAGGTAATCACAAGTCACTCTATAGGTCAGATGTGCATTCACTCACCTCTATTAATGCTTAGTAAAGTAGAATGCACACTGCACCCTTGATCAACGCCAAAAGTTTTATCATTTGTCGCATAACTGAAGAACACTAGAAAAACGAACCCTTTGTTTGAGTCTCGGAGTTTTTGTAGTGGATCGAGGATGGCGCGTACAATCAGTTGGTCTTCCTCCAGAAAAAACTGGTGATTCTACGCCATTTCTTTCCGATGACCTAGCTCTAAAGAACTTCTCAACACTCTTAACTTCAATTAACAACGTGAATATTACAACTGAAAAATACATTTATAAATATTTATCACGCACCTTTGCTGCGTCCCTCTAGGGCTGCCGAACAGTCCTCTAAGAGCGGGTCTTTGAGGAGTTGTATAGATGCTTCTGGGACGAGCACCTCGATCATCTAAAATGTAAACACCCAGAATACAATCTAAATTATTACCAAAGTCAAATTGTTTCTCACATTCCAATTAAATTTCATAAGAAATAGAGCCAAAAACTTAGAAGGAACCACAAAATAAATTGCTTAAGAACAAATGAATATGATAACACAACAAATAAAGAGCGACTAAAACTCTAGAAAAAGAAAATAAAGAACTAGAGAATAAACCTAAGATTTTCACGGGCCCACGAACTCGAACGCTTGTAGCACCAGTACGATGGTTTTCTTTGTCATATCCAGTATCATAACCAAGACCACTCTGAAAAGTGTGACAACTGCAATGAAGAAGTTATGAATGAGATAAGAGTCCCTTGATATAAAGTCATAGGCATAACAATAATGTAAATAGAAACTAACCACCCCTTTCATCGAGGTCTTTCTAACCGGCCTATATGGAGTCGAACCAATTGTGGATGGGGAATCACACAACCTCTGCTGGGGAGATCGCCCAGTACAGACTGTTGGAGTGTTGAAAATAGCGTTGATGTACGACGACTTCTTTAAAACACAAAACTGGAATTGCCATTTGTTTTTAACCAAAAACAACAATTTAAACTCAGTAGCTATAGCTGCTTGTCATGGACGTGGCGAGAACTCAAAAGATCTGTTAAGAACTGAGCCAGGTACTGGTTAACTCCTACAGAAGAGCGGCAAAACTCACGTCAATCCCTCTACGGGGTAATCGTTCTAGCTCCATGTCGCCGGCACGGTCGCGTTGGATATTCCGCCACATTGCATCAAACTGTTCACTAATGCTACTGCCCGATCGAAAACTTCGCGGAGATAAATCAACGTCAGGACTATCGTCACAACCAGAACAGTCCAGATTGTGCTCTAATGATGCGTGTATGGTTGGCGACCCCATCACTTGTGAATCTCCCTGAAATATCCCCTGAGTCTCAGTGTCAGCAAAGAGTAACACATCCAATGGTTTTTTGCCTTTGAAAAATAAACTCTAAACATCGAAAAAAATAGAATACTTCACTTTCTTACTGGTTTGGGCTTCGGTGGAGGTAAAGTAATTTTCCGTTTTCGACCTTTTTGCTGCAAAAGAAGGAAATATGTCGCAGTCAGGTAGTCGAACTTCCATTCCTAAAATAAAGAAATTTCACCCTGTACCGAATAAAGTTGTAATCTTGCACTACCTTAATGAGAGCGACCATTTCACCAAGAGATTTCCTGTGATGAAAAGCAAGTTCGGTAGCTACTTCCTCATCAACAACATTCTTCTGAAAAATTGGTATGACTGATGGATAGAAGCTGTCCTATCAGAAATGAAAAACCATACATCATAAATACTACTCCATTTCAGTTTTTGACTGTACTTGTAATTAATCCAAGGATGGTCCAGTAACTGTTTAACTGTTATGCGATACTGGGGATTCACCTAAAAAACTACTGCAGGGCAGATAATAGAAACTACCAATGAATCCACAGATAGGTAGGTACCTGTAACATGCTGCGTAGCAATGTTCGGCTACTTGGACTTAACCATTCCGGCTCGGAATAGTTACCTCTCTAAAAACAATGACGACTAGTTCGTTGGTTTTTTCTCATCAAGAAATAAATACCCGTAAAGCAAATTGTGTGGAACTCTTCAGTACTGAGTTGATTGATTCATCAATCATAAAAAATGTACATAATTACAAAACTCACCGCGATTTTACGATAAAGAAGCTGCATATTTTCATCTTCGAAAGGTAGCGATCCACAAAGTAATGCATATAGTAGCACTCCCATTGACCAAATATCGGCCTCATTTCCCAAATATGCCTTACCCTAAATAAACTGCCCAGAAACTCTAATAACAATATCAACACTCGCGACGACGCCTAATGTCGGGTTCGTTGCGGATTGGATGACTTTCTGAATTTTCCGTCTTTAAGGACTTGCTGGTTTATTAAAAATAAACAATAATTTCTCGATAAGTAGAGGACTTCATAGGTTGACAACACGAATAGATTGGAGGGCAGACTCTGCTCTATCGTTTGGGGCTAATTGCTATATGTTACTATGGCCCATCACACAAACACATTACTTGCAGGATTTGGAAGCGTTTTTCAACTTTTGGGTCGTTATTTCAGAACTTTTTTATACCCGCAAACTCTATACGACAACTCAAGAAGAAGCCTAACAAAAAAACTCCTGTGAAACAAAATTAACCATCAAAAAGAAAATGAGACCTATAGGTCCATTATCGGCTACGCCGCAAAATCACTATGAAATCTCTAGGTACCAGTCGCCGCTAGAGTGTTTACAGAAACAAGTCAAATTGAAACATGTATTGAAACACAGGAACCTATTGTTCAAGTGAAAAAATTTCACCCTATTCCCAACAAAGACGCGACATTATCAAGAAGCATTTCCAATCGCATTGCATGGGAAGGAAACTAGACATAAATCCCTAACTTAGCAGAAAAAAAAACTTAGTACGCCTACAGGCGACGGCGTGAAAATCTGATGAACAACAATTGACACTATTTCAGGATAGGAGAGAAGGAATAAAACTGATGTTTTGCTTGATAAAAGCCTAAATGTTTCTTTGCATTAAGAGTTTTCTTGGCACAGGCGTGGAGACTTTTCGGTAGCACCTAATTGTCTTCACATACATCATCACTCCTGAGACATTCACGATTGGAAAACGTTGATGACAATGGAGTCCTTGTCACAACATTGTACTTTACGACTGTGACCAATATGTGATTTTGTGATCACATGACCGTCGTATTAACGTGGATAGCGCAGTGGTCTGAGGCGCCCTGCAATACACATAGGATCCATCCCCACGGACCTATTTCACCCAACCTTCCATTTCTCCGGGGTCCGCGAATTGGTACCAGACTTGTCTGGGAGCGCAGCAGCACTGGTTCGATAAATAGGTAGGCCACCACGAGTCATGGTAAAGGCCAGAAATGCATTTAATCACCCCCAAAGATGCTTAGTGAAGTCGAATGCGTAGGACATCCTTCAAGGGTTGACCAACACCGAGAGCTCTATCCTTCCACTTATTATACACATATATGGGACACGCCGTAGTATTTATATATATTACTGATAACGCTAAAAGAAATGCAACTAAATGAAGTGGTCAGAAAAAATTTTTCTTTAGAAAAGTGGAAAAAAGGATCCTACCGCAATGAGCTCAGGAGCGGCATAGGCTGGAGAACCACAACAGGTGTCTAAGGGACGCGAAAGCGAGGACGGCTTCGCACATAAACCAAAATCTATCACCTTCAGATGCAGATCTTCTGTTAGGAGCAAGTTTTCCTGCGATAGAAATTTAAGCAAAAGACTTCCAACTTTACAATACCTTAAAAATACAGAGCTAAAAATTAAGAGAAGTTTGAAAAGCACTGATTGCTAGAAGTCACTTGCCGGTTTGAGATCTCTGTGTGCGTAACCCATGGAATGCACGTATGCCATGGCTTGTACGAGCTGGCGGAAGAAATGCCGAGCTTCGGACTCTTCCAGACGTTCTTTCCGAACAATGTAATCAAACATTTCTCCTCCACTACAGTACTGCAAAACAATATAAACACACTGAGATGAAATATAAAAAGGATAAAGGATAAAGCTCTTGGTGTTGATCTATTCTTGAGGGATGCGCCATGTATACGACTTCATTAAGCATCGTTGGAAGTGATTGAACGTATATCTGACCCTTATAATGACCCGTGGTGGCCTACCGATGTATTGAGCTAGCGCAGACATACTCCAACACAAGTCTGGTACCAACTTGCCGACCCCGGAGAGACGGAAGGCTTGGTGAGCCTTGGGCGCGAGTATTGCAGGGGGGCCTCCGACCACTACACTACACGCGTTTCAGGATAAAAGATAGTAAAACAATTATCAAGGACCTTATTATATCGCTAAAGACGTCATATAGTACACTAAGGCAAACCTTACCTCCATGATAATAAAGAATTTATCCTCTGTATCAATAAACTGGTATAGTCTGCATATGTTTTGATGTGATAGGGTTTTAAGAGCATCCAACTCTGTCGTTACCCTTGGAAGATCGTCCTAAACAAAAGAATAAGAGATTAGGACCTTAGTGTGAAAAGTCCAAAACACAACAAACTAACCCCGATCGCCTTCTTGTCAATGATTTTTATGGCGACTTTCAAACCGGTCAGTAGATGAACAGCCAATTTCACTTTTCCAAAGCCTAAACAAAATCGGAGCAAAAAATAAACAACACAAATATCGTAACGAATCCAAATGACTAGGACAAGGCAATGGAAGGCAAACGTGACATTAAAACCTTTGTAAACAGAAGAACAAACCTCCCGAGCCCAATTCGTCATGTATGGAATAAAGACCCTCAAGAGCAGGATAAGACATTAAGGGTGATACCCGAAAACAACGGAAAGCAACCTAAAAACATTCCAAAAACGAAAACACCTTAGTGTAAACAAAAGTGGCCTTGAATGAAACCAAATAACCGATATCCTTTTGGCTTAAGAATTGTAAAAGCGAAAACAGAACATATGCCTAATACTAAATACCCATTTAATATACAGATAAAGCAATATTCTTAAGAATAAGCTCAGTTAAATCACGAATACTACTTAGTGAAGCCAATATCCATTTCGTCCAATTTTGAATCGATGACTTTCGCGCGCAACATAATTTAGAACAGAGCGTGGAATCTCAGGAACGATGTGGTTTGCAAAAAAAATCACTATCGATTACTAGGTTACATTTATTGTATTTCTACATGGTCTTTCTTTTATTTCTCGTCATCAAATCACTCTCTTTCGTCTTTTACGGCCTTTCTGTATGGTCCAGTTCTTTGAATCGGCGAGCAAGTGAGGTTATTTGTGATTGCTTCAGACATTCATCACATCAACAACAGAAATTTGTTTCTAAAAAGTTGAGATAGAAATAGTTTCTACCATCCATTCTACATCAGACATTAGCATTCGTTTCATTCGCTTGTTTTTTTGTTGCTTTTTTGTTCATATTTGTCACCGGTTAAGGAGTTTTTAACACTTACTTGGATATTTGGATGGCCCATCTTTACTGGTTGTGCGGGTCTCAGCATAATTTCCACTTTTTCGGGGCGTTGCTGGTTTAGCCCTTGTGGTCCCCTGAAGTCCCGAGGTCAGTCAGGCTAAAGTCCGGTCCAGGTCGTCACCACCACAGGCAGTCGCCGCCGTTGTGGATCGCAGGGAGATTTGCCACCATACGACTACTTTGATATCAGGATGGTGTTGAATCCTGATATTGATTTATTCTTAGTTGAACTTTCTGATGGAAAGGTCGGACTCCTTCCCAGCTTAGGAAGCCCTGCTGGGGAGATGAATCCCCGCTGTACATCGAAGCCCGACACTCAGGAACACCTCCCAGCCACGACGAGACGGGATACCGTTGGGAGGAAAGAGTTTTTGAACAAAAGAAAATGCGGAAAATGAACGGATAAGTGAAATGGCAGTGAATGAAGTGGAGATGCAAAGCAAATTTCTAGCAGAAGATCAAGTGGAATCCTTGAATCAGTGAAAGTTCATGTCTAAAATAGAAGTTAGGAGATTTCCAAGCTCAAGATGCCCTTTTCTCCTTTCTCTCTCATTGTAAGGTATATCACAATATATAAAATATTTATTATAATTGATACGAGTAATGTCACTATAAGCCTATGAGGTTGTCCATGGTTTGCTTTAGCATGGTGTCCACGTACTCGTCCACTCCATTCACCGGTTCATCGACTTCATTTATTAGCTTTATAGCACCTTAAATATTAAAATTAGTTCTCGGAATGTTAAGCGCTTTAGAGTTATGTAACTGCTGAACTGGTTAGTTGACACTACCGTGATCGTCGAGAATTTTTGTGCCTTGAATTTGTAGGATTTCGATGCTAACTATTTATTTTAGATATGGAAGTGGAGGAGAAAGCACGTAGCACAGTGGTTAGGAATACTTTGCAATGCACACGTGATCATCCGTTCAATCCCTCGCCCACGTAAAGTAGCTCGCATCCCTTCGGATCAGGGAATTGGCAACGTACCTTTCTGGGAGGGATACAACTGCAATTCATTGTTAAAATGATAAAAAGGATAAAGCTGTTGGCGTTGATCAACCTCTGAGGGATGCGTCGTGCATTCAACTTCATTAAGTATCGGTGGTGGAGGTGACTGCATGCACATCTGGCCTTTACAAAGAGCCTCGGTGTCCTACCGATTTATCGAGCCAGCGTTATTATCCTCCTTAGACAACTCTGGTACCAATTTGCTGGCTCCGGAGAGATGGAGGGCTTGGTGGGCCAGGGAGCGTGGGGATCGTTCCGACTGTATTGCAGGGCACTACACACACCCTTAAGTCATTGTTAGCGACTAGATATGCGTTCAGTCACCTCTTCACAACGGATGTACTCGGGTGGCCCTCAACAATTTGATCAACGCGAAATGCTTATTTTTTCATGCTCAATGTAGCCGTGTCCATTTTCAAGATTATTCATTAATGCAAAAATGTGTTCAAAGAATGTGAACGTGACTGAGAAGAACCTCTGTAAAGAACCTATTCCTTTCTTTGCAATCACTCAGTTTTTCGTCGTAAATGGGTAGTCATTCATTCAATATGCCCTAAACTCTGATTGTCTACTAACCAACCTAACCTCCCATCACTGGACGGTCGTGGAATTGGTATAAGGCTTGTTTAAGAAGCTCCTTCGGATACAGGAGATCTAGCAGTGCGTCAGCATGGCTATCTATCTTAGGATCGGTCTTCGGTTATGAAGAATCGACTGGATCGGAATTCAACGACGTTCATAGAGAGGACCAAAACCTTCAGGCAGCAGACGAACCGAGTGGAATAAATGCTGAGATCCGCACAACACATGTGAAGATGAGTCATGTAGTAAATTGTTATTATTTGTTTTTAAATTGTTAAATAAAATAATCCCTAATGCAATATAATATAATAACAGAATATTTAATATTATAGGCTAATAAAAATAAATCAAAAATAAGTAAATAAAGGCAAATTATTGTTATTTATTACACTACTCCACAGGTGATGTACCACACTGTGCGAATCCCTGCGCTTCTTCCACTAGATTCAATTCCTTATATCCACCTTCCGCAAAGGCCTTGGAACCTTTTTGCATGCGGCTTCATGTTACCTGAGGATTTTCTTCCTTATGAATGTCGTTGAATACTAGTCGAGTCGATGCTCTTTGGAGATATCCGTGCTGGGGCGTTCCTGCGTGGATTCGAGGGAGTGAGATTGCACTGGAAAAGCGTGGCATCAATTTTCCAACCCCAGAAGGATCAGCGGCTTGGTCGGGCCGTAGCATCGTCGAACCAGGACTTGGGTAGGTTGAAAAGTGCGCGTAATGAACGGGATCACTAATATTGCGCTACTCACTCCTCAAGTAATAAATAAATGAAATTGTTAAATGGCATCGATTTAAAATTGTCGTCTGCTACAGATGATTGTTTCCCATGCAGGGTCATAAAGAGCGAAAATGGCTTAATAAATCCATCGGTACAGCCTTAGGTTACTTTTATCCCCGGAACAATCACCATTTGACAGGATTAGGGTACGTCTATCTCCGCAACAATCACAGTTTGACAGGATTAGAGTACGTCTATCTCCAGCAACGATCACAATGTGATGGGACGTCGGCAGAAGGAAAAAATTCGGAAAATTGGCACCCATCTCGTCTGGGAAAAAAATCACTCTCTGCAATCCATTTGGGAACGCTCCAGCACGACTATCTCAGGACTCCAGGGAGAATTGCTCCACCAGCAATCTACGGCGTGGAAACGAATTGAATGTGAGAAGTGTTGGGATCCGCACAGTAAACGTGAAGATGGGTAAAATGAAATAAAAAAATACTAACTGTAGCACAAAATTGCGACGCAACCTATTTCTATTGATCGAATTATTCTTAGTTGTTTCCTATTAGGAAGCGGTTTGATATGTGACATTGTTCTTAATCGACAGTTCTAATGATAGAGTGAATCACTTCCATCCTGGAAAAATCCTAACGACATGACAGCATCTCGTCTCGTGCCGTATGAGTAGGAAAATGACTATGACGAAGACCTGAGAACTCCCTAGCACGAAACTATCCGGTGATTCCAAGAAAATCCACGTTCGATTAACTTTGAACATAACAGTGAGTTGTGAAGACAACTGATCATTAAGCCGTAGCCTAAAGTACACATGGAACTACGTGAGTGTCATGTCAAAACCTAGCATCTGTTCATTACGATACTATATTATGAAGGTTCTTCTTACGTATAGATTAATACTTCTTGGTAGAAATGTACATGGTATAAATGACTATAGCAGAGAAGTTAATTGTGCGATACACCCAAATTTTCCACGGCGTTATCCGCTTGGCTCTTCCCACTTCTCGACTTCGTCACTTACCGAAAGAAACTCGTCGTCCTTTATTGTGGGAAGCAGACAAATGTGTCGTATTGGTAGCGGAATTGTCAGTACTTTGATTAATAGCCGATTCATCAATGATATTTACTTGAGGCCGCTGAGGTCGCGGTGGTTCCACAGCGAGTAATTGAGAGAGGTTCGCGAATGCACCATCTGGAAGAATGTTAGTTATAGCCAATTATAAGAGCGGGCAAAGAACGTCATCGTATGAGAATGAGTGGTGAAGATAATCTAAAAACAGTGGTTTTGACAGAGTTTCTTCTGTCGCACATGAATCATCTATTGGATGCTTGACTCAGAAGGGCAGAGAATCGAAAAACCGAAACGAAAGATTTATTCCAGAAAAAAGCTGACCGTCTAACTCAGTAATAATTTAGGTGTTTGCTTTGCATTGAATTGATTACTTTTAATTTTTTGTCACCAAAATCAATATCAAAGTTGAGTATTTCATCTTCATTGATCATTATTATGTTCTATGAGCTTCTTCTAGAAGGGGAATCCAGGCAGTTTACCTGGTAAGACCTTTTGAAGGTTGACTTCATGCACTTGTTCCTGGTACCGAAACGCCACTTTACCATACGCGTTTGCAGTAGCCATGAATACTGTTAGATCGAATACTCGTGCTTGAAGAGGTGGTTCGAAGAAACACGTACCATACGGTATCAGCTCGAGCTAAGAGAATTCGTTGATGTTCTGTGATTCATAGAAAATTCAAAACAGGAGAAAATAATAAATAAGAGCAACCATTATCTATCGCAATATTTTATGCGCTGAACAATAATCGGCTTTTATGAAGACTTCGGAAAATCATAAAGCCGAGGGCGAAACAAATCGATTTGTTCGAAAGTACTAACATGCTGTACATTATACATTATTGATTGATAGACCATCGGGTGAATTAACCTACACGATACTTATAGAATTCTAATGTTCAGTAAACAGACATGCTTTTCTTTTGTGCTGGACTAGGGCAGAATGCACAAGTTTCTTTTTCTGTTGAAAAGTGAGTAGTAGATTCGATCCCTCGTAACATTTTGTATTCTTTTTTAACCTCTTAATGCTTAGCTTAACATTACGATATATTTACCGTATACTGAAGGTATTCGTGTCTATTAAGATGATCCAAAGTGTTTCTTAACACAACCGCAAGAAATGGCCACAGCAGCTTCGTAGGAGATGCGACTTGTTCCTCTTCTAATTCGTCCACGCAAATTCGAGCTGCTAATTCGATTACGGTTGCTTGAACACGTTCTACATGAAGTCGAACCTAAGAAAGCGATAGCAATTTTGTTCAAGATTAATAATGTAAGTGAGATAAGCAAATACTAGTATGGTAAATGGTAAGTGAAACGATGTCAAGAACGAAAAATTAGGGGACGAGTTGTACCGAGGAGACCGATCGCTAGCAGATCTCTTTTCTCCCTGTATAATTTCTAAATTTAATGTATACTTGTTTCCCTTTAAATGTATATAAATAGGTGCGCATGTAGCGCAGTAGTCGGAGGCGCCCTGCAACACACATGGGATCGATCTCAGCGCCTTATGCCCACCAACCACTCCATCCCTCCGAGCTTGGCAAATAGGCAAAAAAATACTAGACTTGTATGAAAAGATAGCAGCACTAGCTCGATACATCGGTAGGCCATCGAAAGTCATTGTAAAGCCCAGATATGCATTAAGTCACCTCCAATAATGCTTAGTGAAGTCGCACGGCGCATCTCTCTGGGAAAGATCAACGCTGAGAGCGTTGTCCTGTTATCCTTTATATGTTGATCATCTGCCTTTTCGTTCGAATATGTAAATTTAAAAAAACGGGATTCTTTTAGCAGTTTGTATATTTTCGAGAGATTTTTACAAGCCAGTCAATAGAAAACAATGCTACCAACTGACCAAATCACTGGTAAGTAGAACACCGTGTGTCCATTCGTATGCCGAATTAAAATAACCATGTAACGATTTTCGAATATCCATGAATGTGCATTGATCAGGACCAGCTAATGGGAATGAAACTCGGATTATGAGTTGAACCTCAGCATCAAGAGGTGTTAGAGTCCAGTGAAGTACCTGTACAAAAGAAATTCTTCCTCAGACACATAATTCACCAGGAGTTGACATCTCCACTGGAGTTCGATTTCAAATTTCACGATAGGCAAATTTTTCACGGGAACACTGTGAATGGTTCTCATTCATAATTAAAAATGTCTCAAAGAAGAAAAATTGTCGTAGTGCTTAAAAATGTCTCTGATACTCTACTAGTTGGATGAAGAAATCCCAACATAGCAATTCCCAAGACCAACTATCTGTTAATCTCGGCATTGATTGATAGTTCGATGCTTTTTTTTTCAATAAGCAGACACGAGCTTGTTATTATAGAATTTATTAGGATACAATAGCTGACGTTCCGGCGGTTTCACCTTCTTCAGAGCCTGGAAGGGTCAAATTGAGATGCGATCTACTCAGCCAAACACTTACTTTCATAATCATAGCGGATAAAACTTAACAAATAAATTTGCATTCGCATAAGAAACAGCTTCATTTAAACACCTACCGTTTCTTTGTTGTAAGTATTTAAGTTAGTTGATAGAGAGCAGCCGCACAGAGTAATACATGGGCGATAACTGTGCCTGTGTCAGGTCATTGGATTAGCCTGAGGTATGGAGCCAGGTCACGCGTGATGACAAGACACCCCTCCTTGGGGTTCTTTTTTTTTTGGAATTGATCCAAAACGCTTCAGGGGTTTTACGCGCTAATGTTTTCGATTCGTGCGTGAGGATAGTGACTCCTACTTCAAAATTTTCTCCGTTATGTTCCTGCATCCTATGCGCGCCTAGTGGAGTGTTTGGTTTTAGTTTAGATTGACCGACTAGGTGTTCTTTTATGTGGACGCAGAGCGGTCTATCCGTTTCGCCAACGTGTTCGTCCTCGCACGCTTTACAAGAGATCAGATAGACTGTACCCGAACTCACGCAATCACCGTCTCTACCGTTAGGGCAAATTATGCAATTTTCGTTATACATAGACAGTCATATAGGCGGTTGCGAACTAGCTGGCGTTTTAGAGTGTCCGATGGTATTTCTATCACTCTTGCAGAATTCTCTAGACCGGCTCTTATTAAGCAACGTTTTATAGCTGCATTTATCTCGTTTTAAATAAAGGGCAAGAGGAACGGAACCTTGCTTTCGCTAGAATTATCGCTCTGGGGCGTGTGTTTTCCTCTATGCCTAGAAGCTACAGTTTGGTAACCATTTGAAATGGCTATTTGGCGCGCCAGTTTCGAGGATTCTTCCCTTTGCTCTCTACCTGTGCACACGCTGGCGGCGGTTCGAAACATGTTTCTTACAAGTGCCCTTTTAGTGTGTGAGGATTGAGAAGAGAGGAAATGAGCCACTATATTCTTACTGCTTGGCTTTCGATACCATTTTGTGTTGTAGCCGTTTTCGGATAGGTTGATTTGAACGTTTAGAAATGGAAGTCGGTTTTCTTTCGGTTTCTCATGGAATTTTATGTACTCTGACTGTTTGTTCAATAACTCAAAGCATTTGTCCATCTCCTCTTGTGTGGAGCAGATGACAAAACAATCATTCCGTATACCTTCAGTAGAGTAATGGCCTGAGATCGATTACTGGTGCTTCCACTTTAGATATAAAGGCAGCGGTAAGGGTTGGTGCTAGTCGCTGTCCCATTGCCAACCCTCTAATTTGCGCGTAATATTTCCTGGACCTTTACTAACGTGTCGAACGACTCCATAACGTACGCGCTTTTGGGACGTGCGT